TAAACCGAGCAGGTGAAGGAATAAAGACTTACAACAGAGGAATGAGCTCGAAACTTGGAGACAACAGATGCATCTACTAAATCCCAGAAATAAATGTATCCATCCTCAGATCCGCCAGTTACATGTGCATCAGTATTGGTAAGGCAGCAATCCAGCTTGTAAGACTAGTGAAAACACCAGAGATGTACCAACTAATAAAGTATGATGTCAAGATTGAAAAATAATTGAGGATGTCTAAATTTGAAGAATATGATGAGAGTACGCATAAAAATTACTTCAAGGATCTATAAGAGCACAGATGGAGTACAAAATTACAGGAAAAAATAATGATGACATACCCATTATTCCTATAAATTTGATTGTTAAACAAACTAAATTAAACGGAGTATGGCACTGCCAAGATTCAGATCATGCTAACCTTACAAGTATGGCCCTTGTATTCTTGTAATAGCTCACCAGAAGACCTTACATGAAAAAAAAAACCAATTTAAGAGTTTTGAAAACTAATAAACACGCGTGAAGAAACATTTTACATTATTACAAAAGTGAAACATACCTGTCCAATAGTCGGAGAGTTGAATCTAAGCAACTAGCTAATACGCAATTAGCATCGTTGGACATGGAGATACAGTTTACAGGCTGCCCCAAGTTATCTGATATTTCTCTGTTTGTAGAAAAAAAAAAAAAACAAAAAAAAGAGTTGTCATTAGCGAATGCAAGGGGCTTCTCGTCTTTGCCTAGTTTAAAAACTTATTTTCAAAAACCAGTTTCTTTCTTCCATTTTTTTCTTGGACGAGAAACAAAAATCTACCCACAGCGCACAACCAAATTGTTAAAGAAGAATCCTTTGTGAGGGAATCAAAAGGAACAACACTATCTTATTTTAATAAATCATTTAGCTGAAATTCTGGTTTGTAAGAGAAGTTAAAAAAGCTCAATTGATCTTCATTGTAAAACTGATGGGATGTTGTCATAACAATTGCAATCCTAGCAAAGTCCCCCCGCCCACCCCCCCACATGACTACATACCTGCCAATTCGCATGTCAAAAGTTCGAACAGTGCCATCAACACTTCCTCCAATAATTTCACTTTTTGTTAAGCAAACAGACATTACACTGTCTGAAAATGTATCAATGATCTGAAGAACAAGCAAATAAGATAAACAATCGACTAGACTGACAGCTAATGAAACTTCTTGAGAAGTCAAGTAAGAGTAAAAATTCAAACCTGAATTGGCTCAGTGCTATGAGATCTGCAATCCCAAGCACGCAATGATTGATCATAGCCTGCTGAGACTACGACAGAAGCAGACTCATTAAATTTCACAGCATTCACCTAAAATAGAAAAATGTAGATAATTGCAAGATTACAAGAAATGAAATCAAGTAAGATGAGTTTAATTCTTCCAAAGGCAGTTTGAATAGAAGAAAAGAAAACAAAGATTACGAAGGATCCAACTGGAAATTTTTAATAAACTGTTAGATGGTTCGAAAATTGAACTTGAAATCATAAAATTAAAAGAAAACGGTTAACCTCGCCATCATGTCCTCGAAATTTCCGAATGACGCGACCTGTAGATACATCCCAGTAAAAGACTTGCCGATCACCGCCGCATGAACATAACTTGGAGTTGTCTCTAAAGCAAACAGGGGAATATATATACAACACAGACATTAGTTAAAGTGCAAACGAGCCGTAAAATTGAAATCTGAGGAACACTACAATTCTTCACAGAAAAGGGGAAGAAGATAAAGGAATTACGGGGTGACATGGACGTCGCGGACTTCACGGCCATGTGATTTGTAGGTCTTAATGTGAATACCACGGTGAGGATTCCAGAGGCGAATGGTGCGGTCCTTGCCACAGCTGAGGCAATAATTGCCATCGCTATTGAACCTCGCAGCTAGAACTCCACCTTCATGCCCTTTCAGGACATTAGCCTCCTTCGTCGGTAATTCTGATACACTCATATTTCTCCGTCCCCGCCTTTACAGCCTCCTTCTTTCAATGAGATTCATCGCCGGATGGCAGCCTCCTTCTTTCAATGAGATTCATCGCCGGATGGCAGCCTCCTTCTTTCAATGAGATTCATCGCCGGATGGCGCGCGCGTACTCAAATTTAAGTCCCCTTTTAAGGAACTACGGAAAATACGAGATTAAACCTCCCCCAAATCAAAATCCTCAGACCACTGTATACATGGCGATCAACTTTAAGGCATGACTCTGATACTATAGTAAAAATCACGATTTCCACAATGATAAATTTAGGGCATGACTCTGATACCAGGTTAGAAATGACGATCTCCACAATAGTAAGTTTAAGACATGACTCTGATATCATGCCAAGAATCACTATTTCGTCCACTTTAAGTATAAGTTTTATGACTTTGCTTTGGGCTTCCCAAAAATATCTTATAATAGAAATAATATTCCTTAATTATAAACTCGTTATTACTTCCTAAATTAGTCGATGTGGACTTTCATCGAACATTTTTCTCTTGAGGTTGAAGACTCAAATTCACCTCCATAATGTTCCGAATTAATTAAGTTGATTAAAATATACCATATTATTTGAGGTAAATAAAATGAAAGTTATGGAACTAAAACGTACTGATTAATAATAATTGTACTCTATTTTATTTATGAGACTTATAATATTACTTATGTAGGAAAAACGTGTGGCCTATTAGCTCAGTTGGTTAGAGCGTCGTGCTAATAACGCGAAGGTCGCAGGTTCGAAACCTGCATGGGCCATTTTTTACTTTTTTAAATAGTTCGTTCACCTCCCGTCCACTCTTCTTAGATTTTATTTATAATAATTTGTATCTTATACTATTGTTTACCGTGGTTAATGGTTAAGATATCAATTAATAATTAATAATTTATAGTAGAGGTAGCATGAAGGTAAATTTTGAGAACAATTGTTTATATAGATAATTTCAGGGTTATTAAAAAAATTAACTTTTTAAATAAAAAATTTATTTATCCACAATTGTTCGATAAAAATTTAAATAAAATATATTAAAATTTCATAAACAAATATAAATTAATCTATAATCATAATAAAAAAAATTCCATCAACACAACAAACGAGAATTGTAACACCCTAAGAGGATAAGACACGCCTATTCACGTTTTTATCGAGCTCTATCTCCACTTTTAAATTATTGGGAGAACCCAATTGGTAGATGGAGGATGATGATTTTTTCTTGACTAATTATCAAAATTAGAATGGGTGGCTGATATATCATTTTCTCTTAAAGGTTGAAAATTCAAATCTTTGTAGGATTAAATGGAAGTTGTGAAACTAAATCATACTGATTTATAATAATTATGCTGTTAAAAGTGTTTTATTTATGAGACATATAAAATTATTTATGAAGAAAAATGTGTGAAACCTGCATGGGCCATCTATTTATTTTTTCACAATTCGTTCTCAATGCAAATGGGCTTTGTGACGGCCCATATGTTATCTATGCAAATACAAATATTAAAGTTCTTAAACTTATTTTAAATTCAATTTTAAAATTTAAAACGTATTTGCAACGTGTGGCCTATTAGCTCAGTTGGTTAGAGCGTCGTGCTAATAACGCGAAGGTCGCAGGTTCGAAACCTGCATGGGCCATCATCTATTTATTTTTTCACAATTCGTTCTCAATGCAGCACGTGGAAAATGCAAATGGGCTTTGTGACGGCCCATATGTTATCTATGCAAATATTCTTATTTCTTATTTTTATAATAGTTTCATAACTAATAAAACTTATTTTTATAATAGTTTACCCAGGTTTATAAAAAATATTTCATTTTTTTTCTAATGGTGAGATCTCACACTCCATCCTGCTTAGGGACCCTTTCGTTCCCCTATACAATTGATATGAAATCGCACAATCCACTCTCTTAGAGGTCTAACATTCTCGCTAAGGCACTGTTGAGCGTCTAACTCTAATATCAGGGTTTGACTCTAATATCAACTATAACCATCGAACCCCATCATTAGTAAATATTGTATGCTTTGGTTCGTTACATATTACCGTCAATCTCACAATTTTAAAATACGTCTGGTAATAATAGATTTCTATAATGTTACAATGTATTCTCTCAAGATCTCATATATATATATACATGCATACATCCATCCATGAGAAAGTAAGTGGCTCGGTGGGCGCTCTGGGTGGGCGGTATGTCGAGCACCGAACTCCCAATTCCCAGAGGCATAGAGGGCCACAGCGGAGGGCAGCCCTGCAATCCCGGCCCCCACTAATCACCTATCACCACCCCTCACTCCATCACTTGCTTTAACCTCTTTAAATGCCCATATCCATATCTCAATCATCTCCACTCTAATAATTCAACCCTATTAATTTACTTTTATGTATGTCCCCATTTGCCTCTCCAAATGTGAACCTTCAAACCAATTTCTTACCATCATTATATTAACCTTTCATAAATTTATTTTGGTTATACTAATTTTTCAACCTTTTTCTTTTGTTGGTAACTCGGGAGAAGGCAGACAAGATTCCGTTCCAAAACGCTCTAGCAATAAATAATTTGATTATGTGTAGTGAATATCTATAACGTAGGTCAAGAGACAACTTTAAAGTAGATACAGGGCTATCTAATACCTTCAAATGAGTGAGTCGCAATAATATAATAAAAATTAAAATGACTAAATTCAAAATTAGAGTAAAACAGAAATTAAATAGGTTAGGATTATGGTATTTGGATTAGTCTATGTTTAGTAATTAAATAGAATGAGAATATAATTAAAAAGGATTTAGGGAAAATGAAATGAAATGAAATGAAATGAAGGGGAAATTATAAATTTGGTAAAAAGGGGAAAGGTGAGGGGGTTAATTCCTAAATTAGTAGAATAGATGGGCCTGGATTTGGGCCATTAATGTGAGAGTATTTTATGTACCACGCGCCAATTGAATGCGAATGGGGAAGGAATTGGGACGGTCAGAGCTGTGAGGGGGAAGAAAAATCCTATCTGGATATAGGAACAAATTTCAACCCAACACGCTTCAATATTCTCTTTTCACATTCCCTCCATTCTTTCTCAGATCAATTTCCGGCCGTCGTTTCGGTTCAGAAGCTTTGGGTTTCGTTTTCATGGCGGAGCTCTGTAACAATTTGAATATCGCTTCTATGATGAGGATGATGCATGAGACAATTAACTAAACCGGAAAGTCCAAAAGGGAACAGGAAAAGGAAAATTCTCGATTTGGGTTTTAATTTTGGGACATTCTTCTTCTTCTTGTTCCAGCCAATGTAAATTGCCTCATCGAACAATTTCCCTGTGATTTTTTGGGGACGAAATTCGGCTGTTCCTAGTTTTCTTGAGGAATATTCCGCGGTTTTTGTTTTGGGTTCTTTTTAATTTATTGTTCCAGTTTCTTTTTTTTTGTGTTTTTTGTCTGTGTCTTGGGTTTTAGTTTCGAGGAGTCTTCTTCTTCCTTTCGAGGGCCACTGTGAATTCGGATTCCTGAAAACGATCGGTTTTTAACTTTTGTTGAGGATCGAATCAGATCTATTCTGCGTCATTTGGGTTTTTTTTTTTATCCTTTCAAAAGATTTCCTAATGGATTATGACGATTTTGCTTTTCCGCCACTGGGTTCTCTTTGCAATTTCTAGCGTTTTGAATAGTGAACTTCCTTCTTAGATCGGTTTATGTTTTCAGAGTCCACTACTGAGAACGAGAAGTACAAACGTTTTTCAGATTGTTTATCGGGAAGATAACCTTTCTCAATCGCCGATTCTTCTAATCGGATTCACTAAAAAATGGTTCGGTTGGATTTAGATGATTTCCGGACCATATTGGATACAGCCGGTGTCGATGTTTGGACCTTCATCGATACAGCTATGGAGGTTGCTTCATTGGATTACGGCAATCAATTGAAGAATCGGAGAGACGGAATCGTTGAGAGGCTCTATGCGTTGACTTCGCCTCCTACTCGATGTCGGAATTGCGATACGGATCGCTATAACGACGGCCGTTCTAATGGCTGTGAAATCAAACAGAGCCCCGTTGAGGCTAAGGAAGCTTCCCCTTCGACGCCTCAGTTCGTTGTAGTCGAAGGAGACGACGAGGGAGTAGACCCGTATGGAGGTTTGTTTGATGATGAACAGAAGAAGGTTTTAGAAATAAAGGAGCAGCTTGAAATTCCTCACCAGGTATTCTTCTTTTGATTCTGATTATCTAGAATTGTTTGATTGTTTTGGGAAATTCTCTTAACTTACCCAATTGGTGATTGTTTGGCTTGTTTCAGCCTGAAGATGCCTTGGTTGAACTGCTTCAAAACTTGGCAGACATGGATATAACATTCCAAGCTCTTAAGGTGCTTGTTTATGGTGTTTTTTCTTGTTCTTTGTGAATGTAATTCTTTTGAATTTCTGGGTTCTGTTGCTTCCTTCTTCTTCTTCTATGTTTCTTAATTGTTCTCGTTCTTGTTTTTGTATAGGAAACTGATATTGGAAGGCATGTGAACCGGTTGAGGAAGCATTCATCTAATGATGTTCGCAGATTGGTGAAACATCTTGTCAGGTTCGTATAAGCTTTACAAATGGATAAAATGGTTGATGCTTGGTAAATTTCAGAGAAGGGTTGGTGAATAATCAGCTCAAACGGTGTTAATAACTTCAATTTGTTTTGGTGTTGTTCATCAGAAAATGGAAGGAGATTGTGGATGAATGGGTCAGGTTGAATCAGCCTGGGGAGCAGACAGCTACACTCATAGGTAGCAAATATATGAACACCAGTTTTAACTTCATGATTCAGTTCCTTCAAAATGTTAATCTTAGTCACTCTGTTGCCAAAAAATTTAGCTAAGAATGGTTTCTACTGTTATTGACAGCTGATGGTGACTCACCCCAGCAAAAGGTTTCTCAAAATGGTTATCACCAGGTGAGCTGAAATCATTGATCTTATGGGTTCGGATGTTTGTTTTCTGTACGATCGTGTTTATAATGTTTCGTTGTTGTGTAGGTTCCTGATTTTGCGTACTCCCCGAATCCACACAGTGAGTATTGCATTATAATGATACGCAGATTTCAGCTTCTTGTTTCACTTGCCATGATTTTCCACGGATTGATTTGGTTTCTCATTTTGTCCCCCCCTTTTCTTTGTCTTGTTAGATGGAGGTTCTGGGTCAGATAGAAATAACGTAGAACCCGAACCGAAGGGAAAGTCCGTTCCAAGAAGAGATGCTCTGCCGAAACCAGCACAACCGGCTCCAATGTCGTCGTCATATACTCCTCAAAATGTATGGTAACCAAATTAGAGTCTTTTAACTCTATGTTTGGTTGCCAAAAATGGAGGAAGAAAATTGAACTTACGATTCTTATGCTTCCGAAAACATAACAAACTTAACTCAAACTGCATCAATTGTGTTGAAATTTGACAAAATTTGAGTGGTAGGTCTAAATTTTCTCAGGTCCTAGATGATATGCCTGGTCTTACTTACAGTCTGCCAAATTTGTCTTCAGCAAATAGCTGTTTTAGGAAGATTTTCTTATTATGTCTATTGAATTGATGGCCATTTGCAGAGACAGAAAGAACAACAGAAGGAAGCAAATTTTGATTCCCAAAAGCTTGCATCAGCTAGAAAAAGGCTTCAAGAAAATTACAAAGAAGCTGAAAATGGTTTGGCAACAGATTTCTTGCCTTTTATTTCGTTTCTGATTCTTTTGGAACAAATCAATACTAATTGCTCTGCTTGTCTGTTTCCTTTATCGAAGCTAAAAAGCAAAGAACAATCCAAGTAATGGACATTCATGAGATCCCAAAGCCAAAAAATACCTTCTTCTCAAAGAACAAAGGCACCGGCGGTGGCTCTCAAGGCAGACATTGGTGATATTTGGCAATGCAGCAAAGCAACATCTTCAAAATTAGGTCTCCGTATTGTCGAAACTGGAATCGGTTTATCATCCTTTCTATTTGTTACCTTTTTGATCATTAAAATTTAAACTGCTCTATCAAGCTTAAAGAGAATCAAAAACTACTTTTCGCGTAAATTTTCTCCTAATAAGCAATGCTAATGCTCTGATATATTGTTTATTTAGAATCCCCAAGTCTTAATATCTCATTGGTGTAATTGGATCAACTTCAAATATAAAACTCAAATAGGAGGAAGGCCTTGTTCTTATGTCCATTGTTGTTTTCTGGTTTGGATCATATCAAGAGGGGCAGCAGGGTAGAGGGTAGAGAGGTGGCTCATTAGTCATATTTGACCTTAAAAAAGATTATTTATTACAGCAACTTAAGGTTTGGGGGCCAACACATGTGGATGGGGTTTGGTTTGTTGGCTTGCAAGTGGTCACTCCCTTATTTTCTTGATATAATATTATGGAACATGGGGCTTGGCCTAACATAAAGAAGGGTGGTTTTCCACATACAAAAAAGCTTCTACTTTTCAAGGGTGTGGGGTAGAGGATGAGAAACTTGATGCTCATTCAAAGATCTTGAAGATATCTCTTTTTGACAAAGGATAAATCTTGCAAAAGCTGTATATTTCATTAGTGTTTGGACTTGAATCAACCTTACTTTATGATACTCTATGTTTGAATAGGTAATTTAGGGTGTAAAACCAGTAAGGGGGACCTCTTTTTTACTTTTAGAATCTTTCCACTGTGAAGTGATTTATTTACTTCAAGAACAATACCTGGTAGATGCTTTCATGGCTTAAAGCCAATGTGATTGATGATAAGCTTAATACAATGCTTTCGTACTTTCTTTTTACTGCTTGGTGATTATGATGTTTGCTGTTGGATGGGGTAAAGATGAAGAATAGTTTGGCTATGAGGATGGAAATTGGCCAAGCCGTTATTGTTGACTATTGACTATTTGTTATGTTGTTCGTAAGTTGCTTTCAAGGAATGATAATAGTCCATTATTATCATAAACAGAGTTTTGAATGACAGCAGAATAATCCCTCTTTTTGGATTACATGTGTCTGTAAACCCTAAGACTTTACTTGAACAACCTCAAGCTGTAGAACCGTGTCATTTAGCTGTAAACAGACCAGAACCATAGATCAACCACTGTCTTGTGGTTGTGTGGTTCGCTATCGAATTGACCCCTGGTCCTACGACTGTAGAAGATCGTTCTCGTTCTCGTTCTCGGCAAGCTCAACCTCTATTTTATAGATGGTAACTGTGTCGTTGAGTTGTGAAGAGATGAGAACATAGGTCAACCACTGTCTTGTGAGTGGTGTGGTTCGCTGTCGAATGGACCCTTGGTTCTACGACTGTAGAGGATTGTTCTCGTTCTCCGCAAGCCTGCCCTGCTCACTTCTTTCCTAGCATAGTAGAGAACCGTCTGCTATCGGGACTCGGGACTGCCAGCCCAATCAACATCAGGAGAACGCAAAGGTGGTTAATGGTCCTGTAGTGACTGAGAACCCTTCATATATTTTAAGAAAATTACAACGAATACTAAAAAGAAGAAAAAAAAGATTACAAATATACCAAAAATGGTGGAGAAGCTTTCATTAAAAAGAAAAATTAAAAAAAAAAAAACATAAAACTATCACACAACGGTAAAAGAAACTCATTTCATAGGTTTGGGCCAATTTTTCGGCCCAAACTGAGAACGTTACTTTAAAATTGGGGCCAACGTGGAATTTATCAATAATCTTCCATTAAACTAGGCCCATTAAGTTAGGTCCAAAAAGTTGGCCCATGATCATACCAACGGTCCCATAATAATAATAAATAAATAAATAATACTAAAAATAATGAGGCCATGATTTTTCTTTTTCTTTTTGTAAGTGGGAAATTAGGGAGAGAGAATATAACCCTTCTCTACCACCTATTTTAGGGTAACACCAAATAATATTATAGGTATAAGTTTTATTATCCCGACCATTAATATTAGAGTCATGATTTAAACTTAGTTGGGTGTGACGTGGTCGGTCTGATTATTCTTCAGACCATGATAAGAACAAAAACGAACTCTCATTATTGTTCAAGGGAAGACTCAAATGAGGTATATGAGCCTAAACAATTATCTTCGTCTCGAGATACATCCCAACTACTCTAACCTTTTTATTTTTGTTTTTAAAGATGTTCGAGAACATCTTTGAATCCGATCAATTCTTGGTTGAGAGTTTCTTTCCCCTTTACACATATGGGATTGGTTTTGGATGATTAACTTTAGGCTAAACTAATGCATTAAGATTCCTTTTTCTTTTCTTTTATCTAATTTCTTACCAGATATCATTCATTACTAATATTATATAACACTATAATAATTATTTATCGAATATTGTAACACAATAAATAAATAAAGGAAAACATAATGTAACTTGATTAATATGAAAGATTCTTAGATAGATCAATTTGAGTATAGCTCAATTTGTGAGAAGTGTTGAGATGGATAGAATCACTTTCGAATATCGTAAATGAAAGTCTCTTCATTGATGGGAAGCTAAAGTTAGAGTGCTCGGAGGTTGATGGGATAGATGTCTTACATTTGATTTAACTCATTTGATTGGAACCAATCTTAATCTCATTTATCTCAATCGAATAAACTTCTTGAGTTTGTGGGATGTTTAGTTGTTGCTTTCGAAGCATGATGTGATAGTTTATAAATTTTTATTATGGGTCGGAGCCACAGTAAAAAGGGGAAAGAAAGAGGCAAAACCATGTCTTGTCTTGTAGGGGTCTTCATATTCTCTGGTAGAGATAGCTGAGAAGACAAACAATTGTGGAGGGCATTGGGGATTGTTCTTGTTTTGGACAAATAATGTGTGTGTATTTGAATGGATACAATCCCCCAATAATGAGTTCCATATACATGTATTTGAAGCAGAAGGAAGGCAATTAGATATGAACATTCTTACTATCTGAGCAACTTGAAACAAGAACAAAGGGATAAGTTTGGGACATCATGATCATGAGATCATTCCCATTACTGAAACAAAAGCAAATTCTAGACATTGAATTGACTTGTGAAAAGCCACCATGCAACCCACTTCCTTCATTTCTTCATTTTTTCAGTGCTTCATCATTCTAAACCTATTATTCCTTTGTAAATTTATTGGTTTAAAACAAAACTAGAATCTTAAAATCGTAATGGGTCAAAGTTTATCAAAACCAGACACCAAATGGTGTATCACCAAGAACGCTGGGTCAGGTGGATTGTGAAGTTGTTTTAAGAGTAACTTTTAGATTTGACTTCCATATATTTATTGACAAAGTTTTAATTTTTTGTTTATTTTTTCATATTGTGAAGGACGACTGTATCTATAATGGTCATAAGGTAATGACCTTCCTTGTTTGATAAGTTACTAGCTACACGAAAAATGTAATGATCTGGGCACGGTCTTAAAGAAAAGTTCAGTGAAATAGACGTGTCTATGAAGATATAAACTATCTCCACTTGAACGAAAAGACCCTATAAAGTTTTAATATTGTTCCCTAAAATTGGCTTCGGCCCTCTTTTTTATGCAAATTAGGTAGAGGCCGAAAAAGGTGTTATTCTAGGGATCGAGACGCCATTATGATCATATATCGAGCGGAAGTTGTAATAATTTGTGTAATGCCATTACTTTTAATTTGATTCATATTGATTCTGATCTTTATTACAAAATCAAGTATCCTTCTTTTCCAAAACAAAAACTCTGTAAAGCTTTGAAACCAACAAGAAATGGCACCAATCATACTCTAAATTACAACAAGACAAAGCGACATGCAAAGCTAAAAAGCCACAAAGTTAATGTGTATCCTATGAAAGGAATATTACATGGGGTAGGGAGTCCCCACCTCTACCCTTCTATCTTCCCGACTCTAATCTTCGACGACGGGTCCCGAAACGAAGGAACTTCTACTCTTTTAGGGTTTGGTCTAGAGATATTCATAAGACTGGTGGGGCAGGACAGGAACGAGGAACCCTTCCCTATCTCCGTTCCGGTCTCTTTTTCATTTATTTTTACAGGGAACGATGCGAGGATTCCTCTAGATAATTGAACTCAAATCCCCCTGAAGAACGTTGAATTGCTAATAAATGAAAAAATAGCATGAAATAAAAGGAAAAACAAAAAAATCTGACCAAAATCCCTTTTGAAGAATCAATTATAAAGCACTTTAAATGCCAACCATTGCTGTCACACATCGCATTATCATGATCGAAATATAATGAATCTGAACTCATTTGTAAGTAAAAGATAAAGCGCAATAGTTTGTGGGTTCTTTTTGAAATTCATTTCTGTTCATTCACCTCCCTTTTGCCCCTTATTTAAAGGCAGCCCCAAACAATGAACACTCCAAATTATCAGCCTTCCCATCACCAAATATGGCTTCCAACAACCCTTACATCGTTGCATTCTTCATCCAAATCACCTACGCCGGTATGAGCCTCATGTCCAAGGCCGCCTTCGCCTCTGGTATGAACACTTATATCTTCCTCTTCTATCGTCAAGCTGCTGGTACTCTTGTTTTGGTCCCGCTCACCCTACTCTTAAAAGGGTACGTTTCGTTTTCAATGTTTTTTTTTTTTTTTTCGATTTACCAATATAAACATAGCTCATAGCGGATCATTTTGTTGCAAATATATTTCAGGAAGGAGAAGAGGCCGTTGTCTTTGAAGCATTTGTGCCAGATTTTTGTCATTTCATTGATAGGGTGTGTATTAATATTTATCAGTAATGTTAGGAATTATAACTCTCCGCAATTGTATGATATTGTCCATTTTGAGTATAAGTTCTTTCGCTTAGTGTTTTAGTTTCCCCAAAAGACCTCATAGCAATGGAGATATTGTATTCCCTACTTATCAACTCATAATCATTCCCTTAATTAGCCAATATCGGACTCCCACCTATCTTCTCCTCGAACAAAGTACATCATAGAGCCTCTCTTGAGGCCTATGGAGCCCTCAAACAACCTCCCTTTAATTGAGGCTCGACTCAATTCTCTGGAGACCTCGAACAAAGTCCCAACTTTTTTCTTTGACATTTGAGGATTCTATTAACACGATTAAATTAAGAGATGATTCTGATATCATATTAAGAATTACGACTCTTCAATGTAGGACTCACTCCCAACGATATATCAACTTTTTATTTTATTCAAAGAATCTTATTATAGTTTCAATTATGAATTGGGTTTAGGATCACTCTAGCATTGGATGCATATGGAGTAGCCATTA